GTCTGTGTGCGCTTCAGTCCCCTCCTCACAGCCGCAGGTACACACACACACACATGTACACACACACACACACACACACACACACACACACACACACACACATGTACACACACGCCCGTACACACTCATAGACACAGGTACACACACACACACACACACACACACGTACACACACGCCCGTACACACTCATAGACACAGGTACACACACACATGTACACACACGCCCGTACACACTCATAGACACAGGTACACACACACATGTACACACACGCGCACACACTCATAGACACAGGTACACACTCAGACACAGCTACACACATGTAGGCAAGGCAAGGCAAGTTTATTTATATAGCACAATTCATACACAAGGCAATTCAAAGTGCTGAACAAAACAAGAAAGCATTAAAATCATAAATAATCACAGAACATTAAAAATAAAGATAAAAATATAAAATCCCTCAGTTGTAGCACAGCTAAACAGAACTGTCTTTAACCTGGTTTTAAACATTGTCAGAGAGGAGGCCTGTCTCACATCTTCAGGAAGACTGTTCCAGATTTTAGCAGCATGAATCTGAAAAGCAGCCTCCCCATGTTTAGTTCTGACTCTGGGCACTAACAGGAGTCCAGTCCCTGTGCTCCTCAGAGTCCCAGCAGGAGTCCAGTCCCTGTGCTCCTCAGAGTCCCAGCAGGAGTCCAGTCCCTGTGCTCCTCAGAGTCCCAGCAGGAGGCCAGTCCCTGTGCTCCTCAGAGTCCCAGCAGGAGTCCAGTCCCTGTGCTCCTCAGAGTCCCAGCAGGAGTCCAGTCCCTGTGCTCCTCAGAGTCCCAGCAGGAGGCCAGTCCCTGTGCTCCTCAGAGTCCCAGCAGGAGGCCAGTCCCTGTGCTCCTCAGAGTCCCAGCAGGAGGCCAGTCCCTGTGCTCCTCAGAGTCCCAGCAGGAGGCCAGTCCCTGTGCTCCTCAGAGTCCCAGCAGGAGTCCAGTCCCTGTGCTCCTCAGAGTCCCAGCAGGAGTCCAGTCCCTGTGCTCCTCAGAGTCCCAGCAGGAGTCCAGTCCCTGTGCTCCTCAGAGTCCCAGCAGGAGCCAGTCCCTGTGCTCCTCAGAGTCCCAGCAGGAGTCCAGTCCCTGTGCTCCTCAGAGTCCCAGCAGGAGTCCAGTCCCTGTGCTCCTCAGAGTCCCAGCAGGAGTCCAGTCCCTGTGCTCCTCAGAGTCCCAGCAGGAGTCCAGTCCCTGTGCTCCTCAGAGTCCCAGCAGGAGGCCAGTCCCTGTGCTCCTCAGAGTCCCAGCAGGAGTCCAGTCCCTGTGCTCCTCAGAGTCCCAGCAGGAGTCCAGTCCCTGTGCTCCTCAGAGTCCCAGCAGGAGGCCAGTCCCTGTGCTCCTCAGAGTCCCAGCAGGAGTCCAGCCCTGTGCTCCTCAGAGTCCCAGCAGGAGTCCAGTCCCTGTGCTCCTCAGAGTCCCAGCAGGAGTCCAGTCCCTGTGCTCCTCAGAGTCCCAGCAGGAGTCCAGTCCCTGTGCTCCTCAGAGTCCCAGCAGGAGTCCAGTCCCTGTGCTCCTCAGAGTCCCTGCAGGAGTCCAGTCCCTGTGCTCCTCAGAGTCCCAGCAGGAGTCCAGTCCCTGTGCTCCTCAGAGTCCCAGCAGGAGGCCAGTCCCTGTGCTCCTCAGAGTCCCAGCAGGAGTCCAGTCCCTGTGCTCCTCAGAGTCCCAGCAGGAGGCCAGTCCCTGTGCTCCTCAGAGTCCCAGCAGGAGGCCAGTCCCTGTGCTCCTCAGAGTCCCAGCAGGAGGCCAGTCCCTGTGCTCCTCAGAGTCCCAGCAGGAGTCCAGTCCCTGTGCTCCTCAGAGTCCCAGCAGGAGGCCAGTCCCTGTGCTCCTCAGAGTCCCAGCAGGAGTCCAGTCCCTGTGCTCCTCAGAGTCCCAGCAGGAGGCCAGTCCCTGTGCTCCTCAGAGTCCCAGCAGGAGTCCAGTCCCTGTGCTCCTCAGAGTCCCAGCAGGAGTCCAGTCCCTGTGCTCCTCAGAGTCCCAGCAGGAGTCCAGTCCCTGTGCTCCTCAGAGTCCCAGCAGGAGTCCAGTCCCTGTGCTCCTCAGAGTCCCAGCAGGAGTCCAGTCCCTGTGCTCCTCAGAGTCCCAGCAGGAGTCCAGTCCCTGTGCTCCTCAGAGTCCCAGCAGGAGTCCAGTCCCTGTGCTCCTCAGAGTCCCTGCAGGAGTCCAGTCCCTGTGCTCCTCAGAGTCCCTGCAGGAGTCCAGTCCCTGTGCTCCTCAGAGTCCCAGCAGGAGTCCAGTCCCTGTGCTCCTCAGAGTCCCAGCAGGAGGCCAGTCCCTGTGCTCCTCAGAGTCCCAGCAGGAGTCCAGTCCCTGTGCTCCTCAGAGTCCCAGCAGGAGGCCAGTCCCTGTGCTCCTCAGAGTCCCAGCAGGAGTCCAGTCCCTGTGCTCCTCAGAGTCCCAGCAGGAGGCCAGTCCCTGTGCTCCTCAGAGTCCCAGCAGGAGTCCAGTCCCTGTGCTCCTCAGAGTCCCAGCAGGAGGCCAGTCCCTGTGCTCCTCAGAGTCCCAGCAGGAGGCCAGTCCCTGTGCTCCTCAGAGTCCCAGCAGGAGACCAGTCCCTGTGCTCCTCAGAGTCCCAACAGGAGGCCAGTCCCTGTGCTCCTCAGAGTCCCAGCAGGAGTCCAGTCCCTGTGCTCCTCAGAGTCCCAACAGGAGGCCAGTCCCTGTGCTCCTCAGAGTCCCAGCAGGAGTCCAGTCCCTGTGCTCCTCAGAGTCCCAGCAGGAGTCCAGTCCCTGTGCTCCTCAGAGTCCCAGCAGGAGTCCAGTCCCTGTGCTCCTCAGAGTCCCAGCAGGAGTCCAGTCCCTGTGCTCCTCAGAGTCCCAGCAGGAGTCCAGTCCCTGTGCTCCTCAGAGTCCCAGCAGGAGTCCAGTCCCTGTGCTCCTTAGAGTCCCAGCAGGAGGCCAGTCCCTGTGCTCCTCAGAGTCCCAGCAGGAGTCCAGTCCCTGTGCTCCTCAGAGTCCCAGCAGGAGGCCAGTCCCTGTGCTCCTCAGAGTCCCAGCAGGAGGCCAGTCCCTGTGCTCCTCAGAGTCCCAGCAGGAGGCCAGTCCCTGTGCTCCTCAGAGTCCCAGCAGGAGTCCAGTCCCTGTGCTCCTCAGAGTCCCAGCAGGAGTCCAGTCCCTGTGCTCCTCAGAGTCCCAGCAGGAGTCCAGTCCCTGTGCTCCTCAGAGTCCCAGCAGGAGTCCAGTCCCTGTGCTCCTCAGAGTCCCAGCAGGAGTCCAGTCCCTGTGCTCCTCAGAGTCCCAGCAGGAGGCCAGTCCCTGTGCTCCTCAGAGTCCCAGCAGGAGTCCAGTCCCTGTGCTCCTCAGAGTCCGGGCTGGTTCATATGGGACTAACATGTCACTAATATATTTTGGTGCGAGGCCATGGAGAGACTTGTAACAAGCAGAGCTGTTTTAAAGTCTATTCTCTGAGCCACAGGAAGCCAGTGCAGAGACCTGAGGACCGGACTAATGTGGTCGTACTTCCTGGTTCTAGTCAGGACTAATGTGGTCGTACTTCCTGGTTCTAGTCAGGACTAATGTGGTCGTACTTCCTGGTTCTAGTCAGGACTAATATGGTCGTACTTCCTGGTTCTAGTCAGGACTAATGTGGTTGTACTTCCTGGTTCTAGTCAGGACTAATGTGGTCGTACTTCCTGGTTCTAGTCAGGACTAATATGGTCGTACTTCCTGGTTCTAGTCAGGACTAATGTGGTCGTACTTCCTGGTTCTAGTCAGGACTAATGTGGTCGTACTTCCTGGTTCTAGTCAGGACTAATGTGGTCGTACTTCCTGGTTCTTGTCTGGACTAATGTGGTCGTACTTCCTGGTTCTAGTCAGGACTAATGTGGTTGTACTTCCTGGTTCTAGTCAGGACTAATGTGGTCGTACTTCCTGGTTCTAGTCAGGACTAATATGGTCGTACTTCCTGGTTCTAGTCAGGACTAATGTGGTCGTACTTCCTGGTTCTAGTCAGGACTAATGTGGTCGTACTTCCTGGTTCTAGTCAGGACTAATATGGTCGTACTTCCTGGTTCTTGTCAGGACTAATGTGGTCGTACTTCCTGGTTCTAGTCAGGACTAATATGGTCGTACTTCCTGGTTCTAGTCAGGACTGGAGCTGCTGCATTTTGAATGTACTGCAGCTGTTTTACAGCCTGTTTGGACAGACCTGTGAGCAGCCATTGCAGTAGTCTAACCTACTGGAGACAAATGCATGGATAAGAATCTCCAGGTCTGCTTTAGACACTATGTTTTTGATCCTGGCAATGTTTTTTAGATGGTAAAAAGCTGCTGATGTTACTGATTTGATGTGGCTATTAAAATTTAAGTCTGAGTCCAGTATTACCCCTAGATTTCTGACCTTGTTTGAAGGTTTTAGGGAGAGAGACTGTAGGTGACAGATGACGCTCTCTCTTTGTTTCTGGGGACCAAAGACAATCATTTCAGTTTTGTCTGCGTTTAGCTGAAGGAAGTTGTTTTGCATCCAGTCACTGATCTGTTGGATACAGTGAAGGAGTGAGTCCACTGGTCCATGTTCTCCTGCAGTCAGTGAGACATAGATCTGAGTGTCGTCTGCATAGTTATGATAGGACACTTTGTTTCTGCGTATTAACTGACCTAACGGCAGCATGTAGAGATTGAACAGAAGAGGTCCCAGGATCGACCCCTGTGGGACTCCACAGGTCAGGGCCATATGATCTGAGACACAGTTTCCAATCTCCACAAAGTACTTCCTGTCTTCAAGGTAAGACCTAAACCAACTTAGGGCGGTGCCAGCGACGCCAACCCAGTCCTCTAGTCTCTGTAAGAGGATCTCATGGTCGACAGTGTCAAAGGCAGCACTTAGATCTAACAAGATTAAGATTGAGACTTTGCCTGCGTCAGTGTTCAGCCGGATATCGTTTGTAACCTTGACAAGAGCAGTCTCAGTGCTGTGGTGGGGTCTAAAGCCGGACTGAAACATATCAAATGAGTTGTTGATTATAAG